GCGTTCCACCATCCCATTTCCAGATGGATGGTATGGTGTTGTGCGAATATGGCGAATGCCAAGAAGAGAGGTGAGGGATGCGAACAAGTGACATTGAAATTGTCGGCCTTGGTCAGTAGTGATGGTGGTAGGCATGCCAAATCTTGAAAGCCACTGGGAGATGAATGCTCGAGCTACAGTTTCAGCGGATATATTTTGAATAGGAATGGCTTCAGGCCATCTTGTGTACCGATCAATACAAGTGAGGAGGTAAATGTAACTATTTGAAGGAGGCAATGGGCCAACCAAGTGTAAGTGCACATGATCAAAGCGTCTTGCTGGAAGGTTAAATTGTTGAATGGGGCTGTGAGTGTGACGGGATACTTTACACCGTTGACATCGAATACATGAACGAGTCCATTCTGTGATGTCTTGATTCATTGCTAGCCAGACAAATCTGTCTGCGATCAGCTTTTTAGTGACACGGATTCCAGGATGTGCACTTCACGTCTAAAATTGACAGGAATATAGGAACGTATTCTATTGTTCTCTATGTCACAGTAAATTTTAAGCGTTGGATCAATGTGCAGCGGTTGTAACTGAAGGGAGGTTTGTGGATTTGAGATTAGGTTCTTGAGTTCCTCATCATGCAATTGAGCTTTTGCAATTTCAGAGAAATCTGGGGTAGTGAGGTTGATATTGTTTACCCGAGACAAGGCATCAGCGACACAATTATCAGTACCAGAGACATATCTGATATCTGTACTAAACTGGGCGATGAAATCCAGATGTCGAAGCTGACGAGGAGAACATGAGTCAGAGTTTTTTCTAAAAGCGAAGGTTAATGGTCGATGATCGGTGAAAATGATGAAGTCGTGTCCTTCCAAGTTGTGCCGGAAGTATTTAACAGCACAGTACACGGCAAGTAGCTCCCTGTCATATGTGCTGTATTTCCTTTCTGCAGTAGTAAGTTTTCTGGAGAAGAATGCCATTGGGGAATGTCCTTTAGTGGTATGGGCTTGAAGCACTGCTCTTATGGCCGTGTCAGATGCATCTACCATTATAGAGAGCTGATCACTAGGTGAGTGATAAGAAAATGTGGCTGCATTTGCCAGATCGTGTTTGCATTGCACGAATGCTGCAGATGCAGATTCAGTCCAAGGGACAGCTCGTTGATCGTTTTTTTTTTTGCTATTCTTCAGAAAATCATGTAGGCTAGGCTTGTGTTTTTGCGGCATTTGGCAGAAAGCGTCGGTAGAAATTTAACATTGCTAGAAAACGCTTCAGTTCAGAGATGGTTTTTGGGCTGAGGTAGGTCGTTAATTGCTTTGACTCTTTCCGGTAAAGGTTTGACTCCATTCTGGGTGATAAGACATCCGAGAAAGGAAACTGAGGGTTGACCAAGTACACATTTGGATGGATTTAGTTTTAATCCATGATCTTTAAGGCGAGTGAAAAATCTGACGCAGATGTTGAAAATGTTCTTCCGCATCTGTAGATGCAACCAGGATATCATCAAAATATGGGATGCAGAAATCGAGGCCAGACAGTACTTGGTGTATGAAACTCTGAAATGTTTGGCCAGCATTGCGAAGGCCAAATGGCATATATAAGTACTCAAAGAGACCAAATGGTGGTGTAGTCACTGCGGTCTTGGGCACATCTTCAGCATGCACTGGGATCTGATGATATGCTCTGGCAAGATCGAGGGTAGAAAATATATGTTTGTTCCATGAAAAAGATGGGTACAGTCTTGGATATGTGGGACTGGATATCTGTCAGGGGACTGTGACGGCATTAAGTCGACGATAATCTCCACAAGGCCGCCAGTCACCATTAGACTTTTTAACCATGTGAAGTGGACTGGCCCATGGGACTTTTAGATGGGCGAATGGTTCCCTGTGCTAGCATGAATTCAAATTCTTTGCGAGCAGCTTTTAGCATCTCTGGAGAAAAGACGACGAGGCTTGGAAAAAATACAGGTGGGCCATGTGTTTCAATGTGATGATACACTTCTGGCTTGATGAGTATGCTGCCCTGATTTGGATGGGTTTAAAATGTCAGAGGAATTCTGCTAATAAACCGATGAAACCGTGTGCTTGCCCGATACAACACTTATGTTGGTATAGGTACGTTCGATATGTGAGAAGAACTTGGCCCTGTTGATGTCAGCTGAGTTGTAGCATCAATTTAAGCAATTATTCTTGACATCCACTAGAAGGTGGAAAATGTGTCAAGAAGTCGACACCAATAATTGCTTGAGTTACATCCGCAATTTAATAAAAGGCCAGTTGAAAGTCCGGCGCAAGTTTAAATCAAGTGTCAATAGTTTGGTGCCGTAGGTTGCAATTTGGGTACCATTGGCTGCATACAGTACAAGTTTATTAAGTTGGTGAGCATTTGTTTTAGTTCTCGGGATTTGCACTGATATGTCAGCTCCAGTATCTACTAGAAAACATAACTGAGTTGAACGATCAGCCAGTACTATTCTGTCGATGTGGCGGACACATTCTGTTGGCCAGCAGAAGACCGCCCATTTAGTTTCCCAGCTTGTTCAAAAGTGCATGGAGGGGCACACTTGCGAGCTTGAGCGCCAAATTCATATGGATAAAAACATATGCCACTTGTGGGTTCTTTGTACTGCGTTCGAAGTATTGTGACGAGATCGACTCCTGCTTCGAGCACGAAATTTATTACGTGGGCCCTGATTTGATCGATTGTATCTCCGTGAAGCATCATGAAGACTTGTAGAGAGTTCAGATACTTTTTTGGTCAATTCAGGCCACTTGTTTGTTCCAGGGATGAACTGGAAGGTGCAGCATTAGCAGCACTGACATAAGCTGGAGTAACAAGTTCATTAATTTTGTCAGCCATTGCTGCTAAACGGGTTAGATCTTCATTGGAAAGCAGCAAGAATTATTTGTATGTTATTAGGGAGTTATTATTTGTATGAAAGCCATAGTGACTTCAACAAGTCGTCACTAAAATGGCTTCCTGCCAGATCACGCATTCGTGACAGCAAGTATGAAGGTCGCTGATCTCCAAGTTCAAGTCCTTGTAGTAAAGTACGTATTTTTGAAGATTCACTTTCTGAATAGATTTCAATGAGCCGCTGTTTCAGTTTGGAGTATTTATCACAAGTCAGGTGGTTTGAGAATTAAGTCATGCACTGAATTCAGAATATCAGGACTCAATTGCTGCAACTACATGGTTGAATTTTGTAGAATCCTCACTAATGCGAGCGATAGAAAATTGTGCTTCGATCTGAGCGAACCACAATGAAGGATTATTTTTCCAGAAAGGCGGTGGTGGCTTCACCGCAACGCGTGTGATTTGTGGCTCTGGTGGAATATCGTCGGGCATACTGATAGATAATTTTCACTTTAATTAATAAACACTTAACCTGCACAAATATTGTTAGCATGAGGATACACTATTGATATTTTGCCATGATAACAATAAATATTTTAACCATGCAGAAAAAATTTACGTAACGATACACACACAAATAATACAGGGTCAGCAATTACACACACAAATAATATTTTACCGAAATGCATTTGAAAAGAAACCCCTATTTGAGAAAAAAAAATGATGCGTTCATTTTGTATTGCGCACACACACAAAATCACCATTTCACACTGCTAAGGCACTTTCGAAGGAAAAAGGAAATCACTCCTGTAGCACATGGGAAAAAAATTCACTTCTGTAAAACTGGGAAAGAAATTCATTACTGAAACACTGAGGGAAAGAATTTTGCCGTAGCACGTTGCAGAAAAATATCACTGATGTAGCAACATTTAGCGAAAATCACTATTGTATCACATTTGTCACAAAAGTTGAATGATCGAAGAATTGCGAAGAATTCGCACTACTGGCGAAGTCAGCGGAATGAACGGAACAAATCACATTGACGTTGATGATTTGCTGAAGCTCCTTGCGATGATATGCACGACTTTGAAAAAAACACAAGCAAATATATATCAATACTTCTAGAAAATAATTGAAGGGGTACGTTGTAGCATACGTTTTAATGTCCATATTCGTTGTTATTTTTAGTCAGTTCTTCAGAATGCCTTGGATGCACGTGGCTTAGGGTCGTTGAAAATCCATTGTCAGTAGCGTGCTCAGTCAAAAGGTCACCACTTTTGGTGGTCGTGTGCTTAATGCATGATATAATTAAAGAAAATAAGAGTAGACAATCTTCTATAACAAAAGAATATATTAAGTACTAAATTACAATTTAAATTACATTGCAGAGATCAACGCAGAGCTCGGAACACAGTTCATGCTACCGTCGCGTACAGTTGTCTGACGAGAAGTCTGAGTGAGTAATGACGTCGCTTTGCTGCTCCGATTAAGAACTGGATTTTACACGTGGCGCCATCTCATGAATATAAGTTGAAGTATCTGTCGGAATGCCACAGATAGCCCTTCTACAAGCTCTGAGCTTCCATTCTCCTCCAAAAGTGATAATGTGGTTAAGCTCCAAAAGTGATAATGTGGTATTACATGGAATTCTCAGAAGGATGAATTCAGCTTTAAAGTCTCAATCAAGGAGAAATCATCATATACCAAAAGAGACATTTTATCGACAATTGCCAGACTTTATGAACCTTTAGGACTGATTGGTCCGGTAATCACCAAAGCCAAGATATTTTTACAGAAATTATGGGTTCAAAAACTGAGTTGGGCACAACCACTTTTCGCAACTCTTGCTCACGAATGGTAACAGATAGTTTCAAATTTAAAGGCTGTTTTGAGAACATAAAAATTAATCGTTGCATCCTCTCCAGTCATCCAAGCAAGATTTCACTAATTGGATATGCAGATGGTTCGGAAGCCGCTTATGGTGCAGTTGTCTACTTGATTTGTGTCGATGAAGATCACAGCTCGTCATCTTATGTACTAGCCAGCAAATCTCGTGTGGCTCCATTGAAACTTTATCTATTCCAAGATTGGAACTTTGTGCATGTTTGTTATTGGCTCATCTGATTTCGAAAGTTAGCAACTCATTGAAGATGCATTTAGATGACATCATTCTGTGCACTGATTCAACGATAGCACTGTCATGGTTGAAGACTTCTCTTCATCTTTTGAAGACCTTTGTTGCAAATAGAGTCTCCAAAATCCAAAGACTAGTAGAGCCGCGACACTGGAAGCATGTACCATCAGCAAATAATCCGGCAGATCTGATTTCTTGTGGTGCTTATCCTCATGAACTTGTGACATCTTCCTTGTGGTGGAATGGTCCTGAACAGAACGAATTTAGTGATGCTTCTTTATTTGAACTTGACAAGACTCTCATAGATTCTCCTGCTTATCAGGATGAACTTAAAAAACTTTTAGACGTTAATTTGAACTGAAATTTAAACTTGTTTTGGAATACCTTTTTTGAATTAACAAGTAATTATGTTAAACTAATTAGAATTTTAAGTCTTATTTTCAGGTTTCTGTCCAATCTGAAAAGTCAAATGAAGAAAACAGGCCTCATTAGTAGTACTGAATTTCAAGATTCGGAAATGCACTTGATAAAAATGGTTCAGGTAACAGAACTTGCAGAGGAGATTAAATCACTTCAAGATCAGAAAGTAATCAAAAGTCCGGTAAAAACTTTAAATCCATTTTTAGATGAAAAAGATATATTACGTGTAGGCGGTCGCTTAACTCATGCCACAATTAATTATGATTCTAAACATCAAATTTTATTGCCAAAAAATCATAAGCATACCAAGCTAATATTTATCCATTATCATTTGAAAAATTTTCATGCTGGTCCTCAAGCATTATTACATTTTGATAGGAGAAGATTTTGGCCCATTGGTGGCAAAGACTTAGCTAGAAAAACAGTTCATGAATGCTTAATTTGTTTTCGTCATAAACCTATCATTTCAGACCAATTAATGGCCGATTTACCTCCTGAAAGTGTAAATCCAAATCTAACCTTTGATAACACAGGGATAGATTTTGCAGGTTAAATTAACATAACACAGGGATAGATTTTGCAGGCCCTTTTCTTTAATCAAATATAGAAATCAAAGGAAAGGTAGTTTACATAAAGTTTAATATAGCAATCTTTGTTTGCTTAGTTACAAAAGCGATTCATTTAGAAATAGTATTTGACTTAACATCTGAAGCCTTTATTGCATGTTTAAAACGATTTTTCTCGCGTAGAGGTAAAAGCTCAATGTCTGTTTAGTGACAATGCAACTAATTTTGTAGGAGCTCACAAAGAGTTAAAGAAACTTGCTTCTTTAGTTACTGTCCCTGATGAAGTTTTGGGTAAGTAATTTGGCATCTGAAAATATCTCTTGGAAATTTATTCCTCCTCGTGCCCCCAATTTTGGTGGAATTTGGGAGGCCGGAATCAAGTCTTTCAAATTTCATCTTAAAAGAACTATTTCCGATGCTAAACTAACCTATGAAGGAATTTTTAACCGTAATTGATCAAATTGAAGGAATACTAAATTCGAGACTCTTTTCTCCTTTATCGTCTGAACCTTCAGATTACGAACCCTTGACGCCAGGTCACTTTTTAATAGGTAGACACATAAACTCAATTGTAGAACCTTAAATTTTAGACTTGTCAGAAAGCAGATTGTCAAGATGGCAAAAGTTAACTAAAATGATACAGATTATATGGAAACGATGGATAACTGACTATCTTAATCACTTGCAACAACGAAAGAAATGGTATTTTTCAAAGGACAATATAAAGAAAAATACAATGGTTATTATTAAAGATGATCAGTTACCTCCATTTAAATGGTTACTAGGAAGAATTGATCGGACAATTCCTGGTAAATATGGTAAGATACGAGTAGCAGTCATGAACACAAAGTTTGGTCCAATTAAAAGGCCAATATCAAAAATTTGTTTATTGCCTATTGAAGATAACTTCAAGGATTAAGTTTCATTGTTAATAAAATATACATTGTTCTTTATTATATTTTGGTAATTTTAATGAAAAACTGTGAATGTTTTTACTGTTTGAAATGTTGATATATATAACTATCGAAAAAATTTGCCGAATGTTCAGACTTTATCGAATTTTCTGAATTGCTTATTTCATTCTGTAAATGATTTACTAACTTTAAGTCTTTTGTTAATGCTTAAAAAAAAACTGAATAGCTGAATTGTTATTGATATTGAATTGTATATTTAGATTTAGTTTGCATATCATAGATATTGCAACGTGGGGCGGTATGTTGCCTCCTACGCGGCAATATAAGTTTTGTGCAGCGCATTGTTTCTGCGCAATTTCAAAGTTATGTACAGCGCATTGTTTCTGCGCAATTTCAGTTAGTTAAGATTCGAACTCCTAGCGTAGCATACATGTTTTGATCCGTATGGTCGGGAATTTATCATTTTCGATTTAGATTTTTAATTATGATACAGTCCACGAAATAAAATTGTTGTATTTGTTGTAAAGTTGTCTTTAGTCTACAGTCTAACCAGCGACCTCAAAAAAGTGTGTGTACCTCGTCTAGCGAGCTGATAGTCAGTCATTGAGCGAGTGTCTCGAAGTCTAGCGACGAGTTGGTTGTCGAGTGCATCGAGAGTCTTTCAATGCATCGCGAATTAGTGCATTGTCGAGTTTTGTCTTAGTCTGTGCTGAGTCGAGAGCTATACTCTTGTGTATCGTCGAGTGCATCGCGTGGAGAGTCTCGAGAGTACGTGGAGTTCCGAGAACGACCAAGCAGAGTCGGAAGCTGTACTCTGGTGCTTTGCAGTGAAACTGTCTTTACCGTTATTGCCAGACAGTGTGAAGGTTGTGTCGCTGATTGTGTTCCAGCGTGTTTATAATAGATCTTCGATGACTGTAAAACGTGACTTCGACGACTGTAAAAAGTGTTTTAGAGCTGTCCTGATTTATATTGGTAAATAAAGTGTGTTTCGATACTTCATCAAGTGTCGTCATTATTCACTCCAAATCTACGAACCCAGTACGAACGTAAAGGAAGAAAATAACGTAACAACTGGTGTCGGAAAAAAAGTAACAATATATATAAATATAATAATAAATAACAGCGACTAAATAATTATATAAACAAAACAGCGGTTTATTCATAATTAGCCATTGCTCTTGCCAAAATATCCTTTTCTATGTTCATCAATAACAATGACTGCAAATTAGCTTGCTTCATAGTACTCCTTAATCTACTTTTTACAATTTTTAATTTTAAAAAAGCTCTTTCGCATTAAACTTGGTGTTTGTTGTTATGCAAATTGTATTTCTGTCGTTGAACCGAGGAGCGGCGCAGCGCAGTGTTGTTAGGGTTTTCAAGCGTGCATTTGGAGCTTTATGTTTGCTGGGTATTATTGGAGTTCCAACGAGGCAAATGTTCTTCGAACCAGAGGTTTCCCCGTGTTCTGAGGCCCACCAGCGGCCGAGCGGTAAAGTCGCTGAACACTGGTAGTTCGGTCCGAGGTTCGAATCCCGCGAACGGGCTGGCTGCATGGGTGTTTTCGTGGTTTACCCCATGTCTAACGTGCATACGAGCCAGTTTCCCTTATAAAGTCCTCCACGAAGGCATCCCTCCCCTTAGGCAGATAGCCCTCGAGGCTTTGCCGTGATTAAATAACCTAACCTAACCCCATGTTCTGTCGCCGTTCCTCAGCCAACGTGATATTTTGAAGCACTAATAAAGAGATTCGGTCAAGTTTTATGAGTCTGAAGTTTCTTAAGTTCAGCTGAGGAAATTGCAAATTACAATACAGTCCACTATTATTGAACAATGGAACATACACTTGCGTTGTAGATAGTGTGAGTACAAACTTGTACGCATTACACTATATAAATTATATTTCAAGAATAATTTATATACAGACAAGACGCAATTTTTGAAAAAAATGCATATAGTTTTGGATGAATGCTATTTAATAGATAGAGCACGCTCTCCTGACTCGATATCAGATTCAAAATGATGAGTTTCAATTGAATTTTTTAGTATTTCCTATTTAATTACTAGGACTTGATATTCATCCTTAAAATTACCAATTGTTACACTGCATAGTGCCCGTTAATTGTTACACTGCATCATTGAAAGATACCGAATATTTATCTATATTATTAAATATAGATGAATATTCGAAAGAGTTCGGCGACCAATGGCTTCGAAAAGGTTTTGGAATCGAGAAGTGATATGTCTTTATACCGAAAAAATGGTGTTATCCATTACAAAATTGAAGACAGTAACTTCGATTTGTTTGATACTGCAATTTAAATTATAGTCAGACGATTCTTCGCCGTCTATTTGTTTCACTTTTCGACATCTTCTAGCAGGTAGTTCTTTTATAATTATATCACAACTCAGCCTTTCTAATTTATTATTGCAATCCGTTGCAAACGATTTTGGTGCGCTGAAATTTCTAGAAATTACTTTTAAAGAACTTTTAGCATCCCTAACCATATTATATGCTAGGAGGTAATCTAATACTTTAAGTTGCAACTATTTCGTTACTGGCAGTATAGTGAAATATTTTCAAATATACGTCAGCAGAAAAAATTATTCTAAAAGCTGATATTTTATCCAGAATATATTTTGTCATTTGCCTTATCTGTGCATTTTGTATATCATTGGAAGATATACTTCTGAGTGAAAGTATTAATTCTACGCATGTTCCCTCACTCACAAAGCTGTTCTTGCTGAGTCATCTGTGTCGATTCAAACGTTCGGGCTTCTTGATCGGCCCGATTGCCTGCCGGCCCTATCCGCAACCAGGTAGGCAGAACATCCAAACGTGATGTTAACGCTTAACTTTCCATCGATGTCGATTTTATCCCCGTACACAGGATCTGCAAGGTAACGCAGGGCGGCGTCCAGATTAGTTTACATTTTAATCGTTGAGCCAGATCTTTTCGGATGATGGTAACATTGGCTCCTGTGTCTATGGTCATATTGCAAGGAAATCCATTAGTACCACCACTCATTAAAGAAATCTGAACAGCTTTAAAATAGAGCTGAAGAGCTTCTCAATCTCTGATAATATCCGCCTCATGAGAATGGACAGTAATTAAGTTTCCCTCTACTTTGTTGGAATTGCTCTTAGCTTCCGTGCCTTGGTGTGTTCCGCAGTGCCTTCGTACATGGTCTTCACCACTGTTCCAGCATTTTAGGATCGGTTTGTTGCCGCTACTATTACGCTATAAGGCATTGAAATGCCTTATTAAATTGTCTAGACACGCAGTCATTTATCCAATGGTTTCTAGACTTGAGCACCTCTGACTGGATGACGGTTTCTATGAGTTGCTTGCTAGGCTGCATCGAATTTCATGGCGTACATTAAAGCACATTTTATATTCTTGATATCCGCAATTTGCCTTTCTATATATCTCAGAATCCTGGATGCCATATATGAAGAATTGTAGAGATAAAATTTCCTTTGTTTCTGTTGGCCAATTCGAAAAGGCGATATGAGACAACCGTTCAACGTCCGTGGAGAACTCTTGGGGTGTTTCCATGGACTTCTGTTGGCGAGATTTTATCTGAAGACTACTATAGTCTTTTAAACACTTCTTGTCAAAGCACAGATCCAACACACTGGCTCCATTAGCGTTTGCCACCACAGAGAACTGAGTCTTGTATACTTGCCATTAGATATGGATAGCCGCTATAAAGAAGGTCGAGAAGACATAGACACGAATTTAAAGGCCTCGGAATTGTGTCCAGCTATCTCTGTGAACTTTAATTTGTGAAGGCACTGAATTTGTGCCCAGCTGTCCGCTTTCTTGGTGACAGCAGCAAAAATTCTGTAATCGATTTGTTTTTCGATAGTAGAAACTCTTTTTTCGGTTTCTTCAACTTTGTTTGCAGCCATGTATAGTTTTCCTCCCATGGCCTCGAACTTGTTTTTTATCATGGGAGTAATTTCTCTTTTAATTTCTTCTTGACCAGCTTCAGTCTTTTCTTGAACTGATTTCATGGCCCCTTCCATCATTTCTTGACCCGCTTTCATCTATTCGTGGAATGCAGCAAAGGCTGTTAACAACTTTCTTAATTGCTCATCCATGGCTCTTGTCACTGGCATTCAGTCTCACTTCTAACAAAAAAAAAAAAAAATGTTGCGCGAGTATGGGTTTGTATGAATTCACACAGAACCAATGGTAACTTGATAGTATTTTTCCCAGAAACACTGTACACTTCTGGAACTTTCCACAAAAGTACTTGTACAGCTCTTCTCAATGGGACAGAGCACAAACAACCAGTAGTTAAAACTGCTAAGAACATTAAACAGAACGCACTGCAAAGCGCACCTAAAAAGCGAAAGTCACATCGTATGTGAACAAGATTGTCATCATAGTTAAATATATTGCCTTTTAGCATCTTTCATTAAAACGATGCAATTTAAAATATTTATGTACACCGTGTCCACAAACGTTCTTATCTAGACTTTATTTTCCCAGCCATTAGTCATTAACATACACTTAAGACTACAAAAAAGTTTTAAATTATACATAAATTCACATTTTAGTTTTTTTGAATTAAAAAAAGAATCAATTTTATGTAAAATACATTAAGTAAAAAAAAGTAAATTTGTATCGTATGCATATATGTAGGAACATTTTGTACTCATTTTAAAAATAAAAAAATTCGATTCCTTGACGATTAAAACTGGCATAGATGTCTGATATTAAAACAGAGAATCATTCAGGTATCGTACAAAAAATGAAGAGCGAAATGTTTGCATGTATACTTAACTAAAAGTGTCAGTTTAGGAAAATATTTCTGATGTTGAAAGATTACATGACGAACATTTGTAAGCAAATTATTCTAAAAAGTATTAATCAGTAGAGTTATTTTATAAAATGGAGGTCTTATTCAAAGAATCTTATAGAATTCGTATTCTCGGAAAACTGCAATGGCACGTAGCGAAGCCAACTCGTAATATTATGGAAATTAAATAAAAATATTTGCACTTCGATGATTTTTTTGTGCAGTTATCAAATTATGATTCTAAAGTTATTAAAAACTTCACGAGAATATTAATAACGCATTTTCAGACTTTGAAAATTTATAAATTACTAGTGCAAAATTTCGTTTTTCGTACAAATTTAACAAAATTATAAACTAAAAACACTAGAAATTATAAAATATTAAATAAAAAAATTCTGAAAGGTTTCAAATTGTAAATTACGCTCAAAGGGGCATTTTTTTAACATTTTGTCTGTTACCTTTATTTATTAAACATCATGTTCTTCGCACTTAAACCATAAAATTCAGTTCAAAAGCAATAGTTTTAAATTGAACATATCTTTAAAACTTCCGATACAGAGTCTCGCGCGCGCTGGAGATAAAAATGTTTTTCTGTACAATTTTGTCATTGCTCACTTTGAAATCCTCGAGTTTGCTAATTAAAAATTCGTTAAAGTTTTACAAAATATGAAATCGATAATAAAACAAATTTCAAATTTGGGCTTCCATATGCCCATATTCGCAGTAGGATTACGTCATTCAAAATTCGATGGGTCTATGTACCGTTGTTTTATCGCAATGCAAGAAATATACATACATTTATTCAGATTTTTCATTATTTAATTTCTTCAACTATAATGCAGGACTCTAACATTTGGTGTTTACAGTTTGAAAAGTGAAACGGACATTTATAGAGAACCAACGCAAAATCGCAAAAACGAAAACAATAGTCCTTCGGGAACAAAGCCCCTTTGGACTAAAAATATCACTGAATGGCATTTAAGTGGAAAAAAAATCAACCTCAAATCATTCTAATTTTTTTATAAATCGGCCGCTCAATGCAAATTGAATATTACTTCAAATTTTGAAATTAGAGATATTGGTCAATTTTTCTAGTACGTGAGTCAAATCCTTTGTATTGTATTTTTTATAACACACACAATGTTCTCCCAAATATAAGGATAGGAGGAACGTATAAAAAGTTTAGATTTCGTAATATTTACAAAACTGTTATCTCTAAATTTAAAACATGAAACTTTGCGTCATTTAAAGCATTATTGTAGCTGGAAGTATGTTATATTAGAAGTAGATCAGATAAATAGCCTAGATTCAAACTCTATTTCTCATCTTATTATCACGGTCACTCATTTTATTATCACGGTATCATTAAGCCTTTTCAGAACTCATTCAATTCTTCAAAACAGAAGTTACTGCTGCCAGATACGCCTTTGAAACTTAAACATGTGTAATCATAAATACAGGAGATAGTAAATTTATCTGTATAATTCAGATGTACATGTAAGTGATATACATATATGTTCATAGTTAACAATATGTCTATAAACTAATAAAATGCGAAAATAAAGGCCGAATAAGGTCTCCTGTGGACAAGGTGTGCAAATATATTATTTGTAAATATTTGCAAGTAATATAATAAATTTTACTTTGGAAGTTATATTTTTTCTGTGATGTTCTACACGTAAATACATTAGAAAACGCGGAAAAATTCAAGATATTAAAACAAACAAACAAACAAACAAAAAAAGATCGCTATTTCTAAAGAGCAATTTCTTTTTCTTGGGAGGGGGGGTCATCGTCTAAAAATCTTTCAGCAGAAAGAGATTTTTGTAGGATACTTTTAAACTTGGTATGGCAATATGGCAACACGTTTAATTTTAAAAAATGATCTTTAGATTTTTCCTTTGAAGAATTTTAGACGGATTTCTGACTGAAAATATCATATGCAATGTTAAGTTCACGTTTGTTTTCGGGAGTTGATATTATTTGTTTTGTTTTATTCCTAGGATTTATTCATTTATAATCTTCAGTTTTAGAATGGCAAACGAAAAATTGGGAGAAGCTACATTTACACCACCAAAACCAAATTATTTTCGGGAACCAGAACTTAAAGAAGAAAATGCACCTGCTTCTGTCTTAGAAAGCTTTTATTGGCAGACTCTTGGATGGGTTCACACTCCTCCATTTATCAAAGCTGATTTATTTCCAACGAGAAAAATTGATATACCTAAATCTAAGGAAGATTCTGAAGAATTTCAGCTCTACTTCAAGAAAGGGTATGATCCCAAGCTACAGGTAGAAGTTCAAGTGCCTTATGGAGTGCTACCAAAACGTGTGGCCACTGATATCGCAAAACGGCGTTTCTCAGATAAAAATTTCGAAGAACTTCTTCAAAACTTTGGTCTTGACGTAAATGTAATACGACCACCATTTTTATATTACACAGATAGAATGTACTCTCTGAAATCGGATATAGAGGAAGGTATACCTTGCGAGCCATTTTTATCCTTGGACTTCTTTGATGACGACTATCTTTATGAAACACGTTCCCCTGAAGAGTGGTTGTCTCTTGGTGTCGATGAAAGCAACGTAAAACCTGTACCAGGAACAGCTTTCGTACCTGTTCCTCGGCAAGAAGTTGGTCAACCACTGTATCTGAAATGGGCAAAAGTAGCTGTACTTGATTACGATGATTGTCGGAAAATGTATCTTGTCAGGAAGGAAAACGACTATTTGAATGACGAAAATCTTGTCTCAGAATCGGAAAAATCTTCAGGTTTGTGGGTATCTCGTATCTACCTAATGTTTGATGCTGAAGACCCTGAAAAATTTGCAAAGCGTTTGTGGACAGCTGTTACAACCCGGCATTTAGCTGAAGAAAATTTAAGACTAAACTATTACATACAATGTATTCCTTTAGAGGGAATTCCAAAATGGCCACAAGGAGACGTGGATATTATAATATCTATCGCCAGGCGCAGCCTTCAGCTACAACAAAAACTACAATGGATAAAAGATCACTTGCAAACCTGCGTAAAAGAGATGGAAACTGAATACCAGATGACAGTCAATCGTGTAATTTATACAGAAATTTCAGGCCAAAATTCTCGTCTAATGAATGAGTTTCAGAATGAAAACATTAGTAATCAGTGTCCTCATAAGCGAGGAAGTATTGTTAACTTGAATTACATATTTTCAGAGAGATTTGAAAGTTTCCAAAAACAAACATTTTTGGTTAAAAAAGAAGTTGTAATCGCTCTAAATCACGTAGAGGAGCAAATTCTGGTCTTAAATAACACGTCATTGTACGTTCTGCCTCTTGACGAAATTCTTCCCCTGGATAAATTCGAATCTCTGCAACGAACGCAACTGAAAAAGGTTCAAGAATACGTTCAAGGAGAATGGATGTCCAAGATGGCAGATGCCATTATATTTAATATTTCAAGCTGCAGCAGTGGCTCATACGATTTAGATCAAACAGAAGTACATAGTTTAAGATTAACGAAATTGGGAAAGCTATTAAGAGTAGTTATGTTCAAAATGCAGGATGTTATTAGATTTGTGATAAATGATTCGTTAGGTAAATATGCTAACATGATTGCTGAAGCCTGCCAAGTTTTTCAAGAAATAGAAGAGAGATATATATGGAAAGACGATTTTTCAAGCAATAAGTGGGCTCCCCAAAACACCCCTGTTTTTGAAGTGCCGTTAGAAGTCAAAGACGAACAGGTGCAATTTGTCGTAGGTCTAAGAAAATACTGTGATACAGTTATAGATATATTTATAGAAGGTCTACGCGTAACTCAAAACCTTCCGCGGCTCGAAAAATTGGTAATGAAGAAAATGCTTTACAATCCCGATGATAAACTTGAAACTGTGGGAGAGAAAGAGCAACATATCATCCAATGGAGAAAAAAGGTTAAATATGGTACGTTAATAATACGTTATTATTAATTTTACTTTAATAGGTATCATAATTATTAAGCAAGTAGAATAGTCTCAGACCTGATTTAACGCAATATAGAGGTTTTTGTACTTTCATACACATTTATAAGTAATAGGTACCGCTTCATTGTGATCACATTTGTCTACAGCTATTTTGATAACATTAACCGATGGGAAAACATATTCTTCAAAATAACAACAGCACAAAAATATTAAGAAACATAAATAGGTATTTTCATTGTATTTTAATGAAGAAAACACAAAAGATTTTGGTGAATCTTTAGATTATGGTAACTTAGCGATTTTTGGGCGACCAACCCTGCTACAGCAACCTGCTAGTTTTGTTTTGGACGCCATTTTGTTTTCACGAAGTAAAGGCATGTTTTTTTTTTTTTTTTTTTTTTTTTTTTTTTTTTTTTTTTTTTTTTTTTTTTTACTCAACATTTTTTCCAACAATCTGCTAGCCGAATTGCGCTTATACTAGAACTTTTATGGAACAAAAATGCTTAATCATGACGAAGATTAGGTGCGAAATTGGGAGAAAGCGCAGAATAGCAAACTGCTTGCCGCATTTTTAAGAATTGCACATACACGGTATCCATGTACACGTTGACCTATTTTCACTTAAAAAAATAGGCTAAAATTCCATAAGCTGGGTAAGTTGGCACAAACTATTTTGGCCTTCAAAATTTGGCGAATTTTTTAGGCGAACTAAATGAAAGCACTAAAATGTGATTTTTAAACGCAAACAGAATAGTAACTTTTAAGTTTTGCAGTAGTGAAACGCCGTTATTTTATGTAAACAGAATAGTAAAATGAGATGATAAAATACTAGATGAGTAAAACAAAGTCCATCAGCTTTGCAAGTAAAAGCATAATCCTATATATATGTAATTCATCATAAAATAGTAGAATGAACAATTCTTGTAAATAATTATTGAGTAAATAAATGTATACACTTATCAGATCAGAGCACTGCGAAGTCAGTTTTAAACGTAAACAGAATAGCAAATTATGCGTATTCAGCATCATAAACTAAAATACTCAAGTTACTATCGTCGTGGAATTCAACAACACCAACAACTTTCGTTCAAAGCTTTAAATATTCCACATCTTTCGATTGCCACATGCAATAAACAAAAAACTAAAAAAAAAAAAAAAAAAATTAACTAACTAAATAAAATTAAATGAAAACATTTATAAATTATAAACTTCCTGTCATATGAAATCCAACATTCTCCCACCAACAACAGCTTAACCGTCTGCAAATATTTATATAATATAATATATATAACAGTAAAACTTTTAGAAACAAACACAATATTTCAAAATTAAATTTAAAAAAAAACCTGGCTACACTAAATTCGCGCTCTTAGAGTTACCAAAATAAAGCTCTAGGTTTGCCACAATAAAACATACAGCCGGAAACCACAAACAAATTAAAATCGCTCCAAATAAAAATCTCTCGCCAAGCTTGGCGTTCACCCCGATTATGGAATTTTAACCAAAAAACATCCCAGAATTGCACAAAAATGGCATTGCGCACACTCTTCACTTTATCTATGTACACATCAACCGATTTTCACTTAAAAAGTCAAAGAAAATTGACAAAAATCCAATTCTTCTTACTCTTGTAAAAAGCTCCAAACAAATAAGTGGGCGATTCTGCACTTTCGCAGCGAAATTGTTTCTAAGTGCTTATTAGCTAAAATCACGATCGGAATTTTCCGGAAAATGTCACATTACATATCTCATGATCTCTCATTTCTTCGAGACAAAATAATCTGTGATTCGAACTGTGTACTTCTCAGATTATTGCTAAAGTCCTAGCTAGTAACCTTTATCGCCTTACCAAAATGTCACCAAACTACCTGTTACCATATTCTAAAGATTAGCCAAGTTTTTTTTGACATGTTCATAATGTCTTTAATACTAAAGTTCATTTATGAACAGTTCATAATGTCTCTGGAAATTATTTAACTGGTGATGTACCCTTAAACTTAAGCTAGAGTCTACAGCTTGAAGGCAACTTTTTGGGCATTGGCTGTCGCGCATCGTATGATGTTATCAGATATGCTAATACCTAAATTTGTTTACAGTTTCTGTTACTCGCTTTCGGACTTTGCTCAGAGTATGAACTTGGGTGGGTGACCACCCACGTGACAGGCTCCTGCCAATCATCTCCCTCCACTCCACATACATTTCACAAAATTTGACGAGTTTCGCCTAGTTGGCGCGGCGTAAATCGCCTTAATTAAAAACTTGAAGTACCAACGCCTTAGGGCAATTTACCAACAGAGACAGTTAAAGTAGCGGTTGGCTACTAATTGCAGCCTAGCCATTGACTCGATTTCGATTTCGTGTCGTTATAGTAAACAAATATTGTGAATTTTAAAGAGTGCATTTATTCTTTTGTGGTTTATGCGCTGTCGACGAAGTAGATTTAATTCAATACAATCAATTTAAATGAAATTGAAGAAAAAAATGCGTATAATTTAATATTTTGTACAAGGAAGTCATGTGGTGTACACATCAGATTTTTTCAAATAATGTTCTTTATATTATATTTTTAATTATAATTGTTATTAATTTTAAGCAATTTTTTTTCTTTTTCGAATTTCATTTTAATTGTTTAAGTTGCATGGTTCTTTCGAATAACTGTTTTCAAAATTTCTTTTTACTCATTCGAACTCCGTAGTTCAAATCAAAGGCGCATCGTTTGTTATTATTATTATTATTATTATTATTATCAAGTAGCTTTCTTTATGCTATATTTTTAGTCATAGTTATTTATTTTAGGTAATTTTTAAATTTTTAGACTTTTATTTTAATTGTTTGTGTTGCATTGTTTCTTCAGATAATTGTTTTAAAATTTTCTATTTATTCCTTCGCACTGAGCATTTTAAATACATTTATTAATATAAATTTTCCAGAATTTGATTTTATTTATTTGAATTGCGTTTTTTTCGGAAGAATACTTTGAACCCAGACTACGATGCTTTTGAAAACTGCATATATTAAAAGAGAAAATACAGTAAAGCACAGTTAACACGCCTTTCAATGTTCCGTTCAGAAAAGATATACACTGGTTATAATAAATAAAGGAAAAATCACAAAAATAGGGTGTCCACCGATAACATCGCGGCAAAAACATCGCGGACGAAAACGTCGCAGAGAAAACAACGCAAGGCGAAAACGTCGTGCTACAAAACATCGTGGGAGAAAAACATCGCAAAGAGAAAAACATCGCAGTTCTAAAAACATCGTGGTACAAAACATCGTCGTCGAAAATAAAGCGGTTCAAAAACTTCGCACTTTAAAAACATCGTCGTCGAAATATCGTGGTAAAAAATAAAGTGTCTACAAATCATCGCGTGACGATAACATCGCAGACATGCTTTTTTCAGACTTTAATAACTGTAAATAGATATTCCCATAACAATTTGTGAGCGCAAAATAGAAAAGTAGGATGATAATTTGTTTTCATATTTTATATTAACTAATTTTTGCTGAGGAAAAATAAGAAGGAAACTTAAGCATAGAAAATTAATGCAAACTTATAGCACTTAATAGAATTTTAAACCGACATAGTTAACTAACAAAGACCATTAATAAATAATTTTATAAAGTTTTTACTGGTAATTTTTCATAAAAAGTATAATCTATAAGTTGCATTTAATTTTCTATGCTTATGTTTCCTTCTTACTTTTTCAGCAAAAATTTATTAGTTAATCAAAAAATGTGAAAGTAAAAATTATTATTCTTTACATCTTGCGCTCTCAAATTATTATGGGAATATCTATTTACAGTTATTAAAGCCTAAAAAAAGCATGTCTGCGATGTTATCGTCATGCGATGATTTGTAGATACTTTATTTTTTACCACGATATTTTCGACGACGATGTTTTCAAACTGCGAAGTTTTTTAACCGCTTTATTTTCGATGATGATGTTTTGTACCACGATGTTTTAGAACTGCGATGTTTTCTCTTTGCGATGTTTTCTCCCACGATGTTTTGTAGCACGACGTTTTCGCCTTGCGTTGCTTTCGCTGCGACGTTTTCGTCCGCGATGTTTTTGCCGCGATGTTTTCGGCTGTAACCCAAAAATAGCGATAACTCCGTCAAAAATAAGCCAAACCGTGTAAAATTTGCATATGTTGCCAAGTAAGAGTAGCTGAGTAAAACTGCGATATGCAAATTAGTGGCGCTGCTTTCGGAATACATCATCTGCGAGGAGCATAAAAGTCCATGTTTGAGAGCAAGCCCACATATTTCACTGTGACAGTGACATCAGAAATATGCGATAGTCAATTCGTAACAATGATCTTCAGGCATCATTTGCCTGCAGAACTACGACAGAAAGCCATTGGGAGACTAGAGGCAGGATAAAGTCAAACAAAAGTGGCCAGATGGCTAACTGTGAGTCCATCTGTGGTTCATAGACTTTGGAGGCAATTTCAAACTACAGATTCGGCATCTAGGAGGTTCAGCCAAGGACGGCCAACTGCTACGACGAGCGCCGATGACCGATATTTGACATTATGTGCACGCAGGAATAGAACCGCTACTCCGACTTTCTCTTCTTAGATTCTCCCTTTGCTACAGCCACCGGAGAGTTGGTGTCAACGTCAACTGTGCGTAGAAGGCTTCACGAAGGTAGGTCTGTATGCGAGACGGCCAGCCATTTGCGTGCCGCTCTCGTCACGCCATAGGAGAGGACCCGTTTGCAGTGGGGACGACGACATGTCCACTGGACCCTTGATCAATGGGGGGAGGACTGTTCTCTTTACGGATGAGTCAAGGTTTAGTCTAGAAAGCGATAGTACGCGTTATTTGATATGGAGAGACCTTAGAACCCGTTATCATCCGTCAAACATCCGTGAAAGAGATGCATACGGAAGGGGCAGTGTCTGTGTTTGGGGTGGCGTCTCTTTGGGTGGACGCACAGACCTCCATTCTTTCCAAGGGGAACCGTGAATGCT